CTCGAAGCGAGCGGCCCGGCCCTCCTAGGGCATTCTCCTCGTCAAGGGCCGCCGCCATCATCGAGTCATCATCGAATCATAATCGTAATCGTCGTCATTGTCATCGACGTCACCATCACTGTCACTCACCATCATCAGCGTCTTGTCGTTGTCGTCATCGTGGTCGTCAAGTCAATCACAATTGCCGTCGTCGTCGTCATCGTCGCCACCGTTGTCGTCGTCATCATCATCGAGTCACCACCATCATCATCATCATCCTCATCATCATCGACGTCGTCGTCATCATCATCATCATCAGCAGCATCAGCATCATCATCATCATCGTCGTCATCATCATCAGCATCACCATCACCAACGTCGTCGTCATGATCATCGGAGTCACCATCATCATCATCATCATCATCATCAGCAGCAGCATCGTCATCGTCATCATCAGGATCAGCATCAGCATCAGCATCAGCAGCAGCATCAGCATCAGCATCAGCATCAGCATCAGCAGCAGCATCATCATCATCATCATCATCATCATCATCATCATCATCATCATCATCGTCGTCGTCGTCGTCGTCGTCGTCGTGGTCGTCGTTCTCAGCATCATCATGAATCTCACCCACAGTATCATCAACAACATCATCGTCGTCGTCATCCTCATCCTCATCATTATCATCCTAGTCATCATCATCAGCATCTTGCCCACCATCATCAGTAGCATCGCCATCATCATTCACATCAGCATCGGTATCATCATCGCAGCCGCCTTTATCAACGTCATCATCAGCATGAGCATCAGCAGCATCATCCTCGTTGTCGTCATCACCATGATCATAATCAGCATCGGCAGCATCATCATCACCAGCATTATCACCATTATCATCATAATCGTTGTCGTCGTCGTTGTCGTCGTCCTCATGATCATCATCAGCGTCATCATCATCATCATCATCATCATCATCATCATCATCATCATCATCAGCAGCATCATGATCATCACTATCATCATCAGCAGCAGCCTCGTCACCATGATCGTCACCGTCGCCGAAATAACCTGTTCGAGCCTATCCTGTCCTCCTCCTCCTCCTAGTGGCAACGTTGGGGGGAGGGGCGTGCCCGCGTTCCATGTCAAAACCAACCAAAAAAAGGAAAACTGGGGTCCGGAGGGCTCTCCATCGGCCTCCCCCGACTCGCCTGGCCAGGCAAGCCTCTAAGGACGGAGGACCACCCTTCGAGAGCCTGGCCACGGCAAATTTGCCTGCGGCTCGAGGTCGCTCGCAGGCCCCACGATATCTAACGACCAGTGCCCCGAACCAACACACGCACGACACAACCAAAGCCGCGCAGGCACCGCAGGCGGTGGGTCCCGCAGATACGTTGGGGGGGACAAAGGCAGGGATCTGCCAGCCTGGCGCTGAGCGGCTATTGGCGAGAAGGTGCCGTCATCCACATGATACAAAAACACGGGCCGTGCCTTTGCATGACAGCACGTGTGGAGGCGTGGCGAAGGATAGATTGATACGGAGTGCTGTAGCAGTCGCGCAAGGATGGATCAGAGAGGATTTAGCAAGAGAGGGGGCAGAAGGAGAGGGGGAGGGAGCAGGAGACAGCAAAACGGTGACCAGAACCGCGCAGGATCGTTACAGGACCTCATATCCTCCTCCTCATCATCCTCCTCCTCCTCCTCCTTCTCACTCGCTCGCTCGCTCGCTCCGTCTAAAAACCGTTATAACTTGTGGCTTGCTCAAGGAAAATGGAGGCAGAGAACAGGGGTCAGACATAGAGGTTGCCCACTTTGGGGCAGCCCATTCGGTGCACGGCCGTCGTGACAGCGCCGGTCCCATCCAGCAGCCACACCCAGGGCACGAGACAGAAGCCGACCATCACAATGAGGCCCAGAAGGGATCAAGAGGCCTCCAGAAGTCCAAACACTCAAGGGAGCCCCGACTTCCCTCATCGACCTTCGCTCCAGCTTCATTTCACACAATCGGGTTCTGAACGCTTCGGCTATCCATTCTGACAAAAGGCAGGGCAGTGACAACTGCAGGCACATGTCCTCCCTCACACATCCCCCCCGTCCTCAACAAATTTAACTCATCCTCCAGTCGTGGTGTGCACGCTGTGATCAGCAAATCGGGTCTAAGATCTGCCTGGCTCCTAGGGCGCATGGATGCAGCTCCCTCACCTGTGATAGATTATGATATATTATTTGCTTCACCCGCGAAAAATCACTGAGGCAAAGGTGCTGCCCCATTATTTGTCCCCCTGCGCACATCCAAGGCAAACTCTGCTTCCTGGCGGCCAGCAACAAGATCAGACCACCTTTGACGCAGGCAGGCTCCACTTCAAAGTCTCCTCTCTCCCTTGCATTGGCGCACTGGCTGCCCCAGGGTCTCTGAGAAAACCTCATCACTCACACTCTCTCTCTCTCTCTCTCTTTTTCTCTCTCTCTCTCTCTCTCTCTCTCTCTCTCTCTTTCCACGGGGGTAAACAGAAAGCCCCTCCCGCCAGTCCCCCAACTCTGACAAACTCCAACCATCTCTCCAGGCTTTGGGCCGCCCACTCTTGGTGGGCCATGTGGATAACATTCACCTCACACTCATGTATGGTGCAGGTGCTCTCGGTTTTGTCCTGGAACTCAGCTCGGGCTCGCTGGCCCTTGCCAATAATCCAAAACAAACAAAAACTCTCTCGCAGACTTGCTCCACAGCGCGCGTTCCGTTCTCGGCACGTGGGGCGGCGGGCTGCAGATAGACCATTGGTGCATCCAGCTGAGCTTTGTCACGAATGGGTGGGCACATGGCTTCATGGGCCGCGCCCTCAACAGCGCGCCCATGCCGTCCTGAGGCTCGACTCTCCCTTTGCAAATGCATACTCTTCTCCCTCCACCACCTAACCTCCTCAGGGTCCAAGCATCTGCCCGTCGCGACATAGCTCACCGCACACACTCTATTTCTCTTGAGATGTTTGACAAGCCGCCCACATGTGTGAAAGTGCATAATGCTAACGCCCCAGCACGTGCCGACGGCCCAGCTCGCAGGATCCTCTCAAGATTCGAGGCACTTGCCACGGTGAATGGCCATTCGTCTCTGCGTGGCAGCGACATGGCCACGCCCATAGCATATGAAACCCTTCCCCCCGTGGCCGCGCCCCCCAACCCCCATCCGAAGCTCCCCCCTTCCTCCTTCCAGCCCAAGAGCCTGCAGCTCTTCGGCAACCTCCGCAGCCGAGAAAACGTCGCCTTTGCCCGCGCAACTCCCCCCCGGCGGCTTCGGAAACCAGGCTTCGAAACTTCTCGCCGCGAGATCTGGCAAACTCTATCCAATCCTGATCTCGGCCGTTCCCAGGGACATGTCCCTTGTCAATGATCCCGCTCAACCACCCTCAATCATCCCTCAACTCCTTGACCCAACTCCCCTCATCGTCCCATAAGGTGTCAAGGCAAACCCTGAAGCCTTTCGGGCCATTGCTCAAAACTCTGGTAAGATAGCGCAGCCTGGCAGTTCTCATGACAGCTCGGTGATTCCGCTCTCCAGCTAGATGCACAATCTTAGCATGGGTTCATTTGTCCTCGCGATTGCCGAGCGGCTTGCCCACGGCAGCCCTGCGCGCAGTGGCCCGCGCGGCCGCAACCTCACCACGGGCGCGCCCGGGGGGGGTCCCAGACCACAGATTTGAACCACAGCTTGGACAACGCATAGGCGTCAGCGCAAATCGTTTAGACCCTCGCGTCGAGCTCTTCTCTTCCACCTGCGCATTTTACTTATCCTGTGCGCCACCTAGGGGTTGGGGCTGCCATTTTCAATGGGCATCGCCCCCAACCCTTTAATCTGCTCGGCCCGAGCCACCCTAACCACATGCTGCTCTTACACGATGGTCTCTTCGCCAGCCATGGCAATGCTTGTCTGGTCTTCTTTGCACTGATTCCGACGAGGGACGTGGTCAGGCACGCCTTAGCGGCGCTGGGCTGAAGTCCATATCTGGACACACGCCCACATACAATGTCAATGAGCTGCGCCTCCTTCTCTGACACCATGGCCGCATCCTTGACCGCCGCGGCAGGCGCCAGATCGTCAACAAAGGACACCGAGCATCCTAAATCCCCCCAGTCACTCTCACAGGAAAATGATGCTCAACAGGGCGGGGCCCCCGCTGGAGCTCGCATTCTCTCGCGCGCGCATCGATGCTAACTATGATCGCACTGATGGCAACAAAGAAACCATCCGTCGACAGAATCGCGCCCGGCCTTGCCACCAGCACGGGGCGCACGTAGCCTGTGGCATCCTTCACTTTCCACCACCACCCCGCTCGAGTCTCCCTCGCCAGCTCCACGAGATTCTTATCATAAACGACAGCGTCCAGCCTTCCCTCGCCATCAAGAGACAAAGAGGCTGACAAAGTGCCTCTGGCATCTGCACATCTCCCACCGCCTGTCTTAAATCTTCTTCCCCCCCAGGGAGTCGCATCACAAACTGCCCGGTAACCTTATAAGACGCTGCCGTAACATCCAAAAAGAGGCCCACGGTGCCCAGGCCCTCCCATCTTTGAGCCCTGAACCTGGAACGGACCCAGCGCGCGGCGACGTCGGCGCTTTTGCACCACCTCTGCAAGAATCCCCGAACTCTTCTGTCTCAGAAACTTGCGGTGGAAATTGGCAAGCGCGTTCCCTGGGAGAATACGACGCTGGGCAGCCGCTTTCCTGCCATCACCCTTCCCGTTGTAAAAACTCCCCCCCCCCCCCCCCTCCCCTGCTTCACGCAGCATGGCCCCCGCCCAATGAGATTCGTCTTCATTAGCGCAGGATGGCAATTTCTCGCCAAGCCTGCAGGGTCAGCGAGATACAGATCATCTGCGAAAGCATCGGGCCCAGCGGCCTAGCCTCCCCGGGGTCGCCCAAAGGCTCTCTGGAGCTCTTGGCGCGGCATGACGCTGTCCAACTGCCTAGGCTCAGATGGCTTCAGCACGGTCCCGATTTCGCAATACTGCTTCAGAATGACGGCCCCACTAGC